TTTTTGTATAAATAGCTGATTTTTTTCCTATTCTACTTCTAGTTTTGAATCGCACTTGACAAAAAATGGTGACGTCAAAACCATGTTTACATACTCTGATACAAACACGACAGTCGGCCAATCAGAACGCGCGTAGTATCGAAGTTATTTTATAAATAAGGTTTGAAACTTGAAACATATCAAATTCATTACATACAAAAGCTTGTATCAAGTTCAGGTTATCACGCCCCCCTTTGAATATTGGCCAAACGCAGGAGAATATTCAAATGATTTTCCTTCGTTCCATTATCAATAATATAACTGTATAAACAAATTAAATAAATTTACAAATTGCATTATTTACATCTTTCTTCAAATACTCATTCGCAAGAAAAAATAAGAGCGCTGGTAATTTTGTATTTGCTGAAATGATACATATAGTTTTTTATCGTGAGCTTGATAATTTTGTTATTGAGAATATAGATAAAGAACTAGTAGGGTAGAAGAGAAAATTAGAAAAGGCATTGGCAGTCTGGACGCTAATTAGAGCAAATTTCAAGTTTCAAGTTTGCAACTAATGACTTTGATATGCTTTCCAATTTCCTGTGACGTGCAATGCAACTTAACGGAAGTCAAAAACTCCACATGATACATAGATACACACTTTGTCAAAAGACCAAAGCCTAGATTAGAGTGCTAGCAGCCTGACAAACTCTCTTACACAATTTGTTATGAAAGACAGAAKGAAAAGCAGTCTGGTCTAAGCTTAATAAATTGAATCATACCTGCACAAAAAGTTGCTCTAGCTCTTTTGTTTTCTTTTCAACCTTTTTTTCGAGGCCTTCCTTTTCTGCCTTATTCAATCAATATATGCAAAATGTAAAGCAAAAACATAATGAAAAATAAAAATAAATTGGTTTGAATAGAATGCCATATAAAATGTACAGTCAATAGTACCCTTTCAAACTCATGCCAAACTGTAATGCTGAGTTCCTAAATGTAATTTAGAGTAGTTTCACATGAAAATAATCAAATAAGTTATCACTCATGACAGCTAATAACCACCAGTCATCATTACCTTCATTTGCTGTTCCTCTTGGCTGTAACCTAACCAATTGATATTTCTTCCATTTCTTGATATGATATCCATGGCTTGAAAAACATTAAGAACATCGTATATTCTTCGTGTAGCCTTTTCCTAGTAGGAAAGTAATTTGTTGCTGATAATCGCAATTGATAAAATAGACATCATTTCAACATACTGTACGAATTTAAATAGAATTAATGTTGGCCAAAAACGTAGCTCGAAGTATCGTCAGGATAATTTAATACGTTCCGTATATTCGTGCGCCCATGTAATATCCTCTATTTTCGTATGTATTTTAAATGAGGTTTTTATTTGATTTTTCCTGATTTTATTTTCCTTAAAAGATTATGGAAAAAGTGTTTTTTTTATGTTTGCAATTTACCTTATCAGTGCCATTATCTATCTCATCTAGAATCTKAAAAGAAATGAATCTGTCATTAGAATTATTTACTTGCCAATCAATTACTTTATTTTCATTTGCTATACTATTCACATTTGTCAGATTCCGTTTATTGTAAAGCATATGAACAACACAACATTTATACGGACATTTTGTGGCTAAATTAATTCGAAATGAAATTCTAATTTTCATTAAAAAAGGTGAATCAAAGTTTTAAATTTAAACCAAATAATAACAATACACATTTTTTACCTCATCAAAAGTGGCCGTTCCTTTTCTCTCAAGTATTTCACAAACCAGTTTCCCATAAGTGCGCAGTCCTGTAAACGAACGAGTGCTCGTATCTCTGCRGAAAACAATGAATAAAAATAAATTCCTGCATAGTTTAGATTCAATTAGATGAACTCGATTAATCACACTCAATACATGACTTTCAAAAATGTCCCGAATTGAGAGATTAGAGACGAAACACAGAAGCTTGTTTTCAAAGGGTAGCCTTCTTTAACACTACCACTCGTGCAATTTTCTCAGTGTTTGAATGTAATTAGTCTTGCTCTAAATAAAGTCAATGGCATAGAATTGGAATTAAAACAACTTGGCTTATTTTGGTTTCGATAGAATCGAATGCGACCAATTAGATCGAGTGCATCGAGTTAAGATTTTAATAATAGGCTTGAGATAACGGAAATAGACTTCAGTCATAAACTGCATTGAATTCAATACTCCATTTCCGAATTCAAAGTGGATAACCATTGTTTTTTTATAACAGATTCTCTTGCGCAAAGACCACACCAAACTCAAAGAAAAATGAAAAATGAAAAATGTTGTAACTACAATAGTCATAACAGTTTGTATTAAGAGTTGAGCCTGACCCTGTATTCCCAGATTGCTTGAGCCTTAGAGCTTCTGGGAATATAGGATTAGTCTCAATTAGAGAACCAGTTCAGTTCTTATACAAATATCAAAAAACAAGGGCACTGTAGTTAATCTCATRTACAACAAGAAAAAATCCAAAAAYGTGCATTTAGTCGAGAATTTTCAATTGCTAGGCAAACTGAGCRAAAARGAAAATCATTACATTTTAAAGGTGAAAAMATTGGTTTTACYTAGTGTTTTTAAGATTTTAGTGACTTGTTTTGACAGGGAGATTGATGTTCCATGACACATTGCAAAACAATTCAAAATGGCGGCCTTGTAATATGGATTATGRTCCCATGTCTMCAAAAATGGTTATTTTTTAAGGTKAATCACTGCTGTTGTTTTCATGCTTTTTATTTTATCTATAGAYCTAACTTATGCCTATGTTTCGATATTTGAATCAGTTGTAGAAATAAGATCAGAGTTTGAAATGATACTGATTTCAGCTTAATCACTTTTATCATGGAAACGATAGTTTTTGGTGAAACAGTTATTCCAACCGATAATTCTAAAACAACATGGAATCTTAATTGTGGTGAATGGATTCAGTATATTACAAAATAATACCAACTATCTATTTAGAAAAAATTAATCTGTTTTCGAGTGAATCGCAAAAATTACAAAGATTTTGATTTGCATGTTTGTATAGTTGAGGTGACGGTTTTGACACCATTTTGTTTCGATAGCCAAAGTCTCACAAATAAACAAGGATACTGTGTGAAATCGATGTCAAGTAAGTCCAGTTAGATTTCCATTCTGAAAGAATCATTAATTCCAAACTCTAAATACTACGAAAAGGAGTTAACTGGCGAATTTTGAAGTACTAAGTTGATCTAGAGAGCGAGTGAACTCATTTTTAGTTCTCCATACATTTCTTTATAATTTCCGGGGTCATCGGCGCGTGACGCTCTTGAAAAATACAAAAAAATGTATGGAGAACTAAAAATAATTTTACTTGCACCCTAGATCAACTTAGTCCTTCAAAATTTTCCAGTTAACTCCTTTTCGTAGTATGCGAGACTATACCTACCCAAACAAAATGGTGGTCAAAACCGTCACATCAATTATTATTAAAATAATCAGTTACTTAGCAACGATGGATACTTAAATACATCTAAACCTGATATCCTAAAACGATCATTTACTATGTTTTTTTGTATCTCAAAAAACTCCGAATACTCCATATTGTAGAGATATAGTGTATAGCTAAAAGTTCAACAAAAATAAAATAGTGTATAGCTAAAATATCAACAAAACCAAAAATACCTACATATAGCAGGCCTCKAAACCACTGYTAAATCCTTCAACATCAGCCAGATGGTTTTCTAAAGACTTTTTTTGCAATTTTCTGCAATGGGCTGCTCTCTATGTAGCATTCAATGTTCTTTGAAATAGCTGTAAACAATCCTTGKTCAACCGTCTTAACATGTGATATGACGTAACTTGCATTTTTAGGATTTTGCTGCAATAAATGCTGAAATAATTTATATTACATAATCTTTGATTATATTTCTCAATTTGTGCAGAGTTTTGGAAAAATCTGTAGGGCGGATTTTGAGATAATTGAGATAAGTTAAAGTAAAGTGCAAATGTTTACCACTTCTTAATTATTTTTGACTTTTCATAAAAACACATGAATCCATTCCCTTCATATTGTTCCTAAAGACAGGAGAGCATTCAATAAACAATCAATTTCTTATAAAATGAAATTCTCTGCAATAGTTATTTTGGGGTAAATTATACAATTTTTAATATCTTAAAATACTCCAAGCCGCGTTTACCAAACTGCTGGTTATGCAAAGATAAACGTAGATAGCAAAGTTGTTAAAATTAAGAACAGACCTCAGTTCAAATTTGAACACTTCAAGAAGGTCACATACAGTGAATTTCGTTGGATCTAATGTGTTTT